GTATGTTTCTAAATAGAAATTTATTCTAAACAAACGTTGATATTAAAATAAATATATAATAATGAATCCGTCACACACTGTAGCGAGAGAAAACACGCCACTCAATTTCCTTTAAATTAAGCAACAAGGCAAAAACAACAATTGTGTAGCAAATAAAAATCGCTAACATTAAAACAATTTTTAAAATGGCATATCTTATTAATTTACTATCATTCTAGCTGCACTATAATATTAATATTAATAATATTATTCTTATAATACTTTACATACTTCACATCCTTCCAACACCAATAGCTAAAAAAGCAACCGTTGGTTAAGTATTTGATTATCAAAGACACTTAATTTCAGGTGTAAATTGAATAACTTTTTTCCATACACATTGATAGTTTTTAACTGTCGGGGCTTGGCTCCAATTTCAGGTGCCGTGGCGGTGCTTGGGTACACTTCGGCAGCACTACACCCCTGACTAAGTACGTGCTAATGGTGTCTCTAATTATTAGGTATTTGTTTAGTTTCTGTAACAGCAGCCAGACATGTAAGGCTATTAAACAAATACAGTGTCTGTGTGTCACGTAACTCCACCTAAACCGCTGGTTGCACCGACTTCTATAAGGTACCAAATTAATAGTCCCGAGGTTTGCACAAAAGTAAAAATTTGCACCTCACTCCTTGAGGATTCCCCCTAACCCCTTCTCTTGAACTGCTGGATCACCAACTTCTAAATGGTGCCAAACGAATCGTCTCGGTCTCGAGGTTTCCTCAAAGGTAAAACTTTTCACCCAAACCCTTAGAGAACCCGAGCATTTCGCGAAAACATTTTTACGGGGATTCTCTGAAAGCGGGCCCCAAATTTGGCATTGATTAACATTAGAGCATGTAAACAAGTAGGCCTATTAATTATTATTCGTAACTTGGTTAAGGAAATTATTGCGGCAATGACCATTAAACTGATAAAATGCAGAGCAGTAGTTCAAGCATTAGATTTGCTTTATAACAGCCCTGTAAATGTGAGCCATAGGCCTACTGGTTGGCTAATTACTGGCATAGTGTTGAACATTGTGTTTTTATTTTATGTTGCAATTCCAGCTTAGTTTTATTATGTGAGATGTAATAAATAATACATAAAATGACAAGTAAATATTGTTGTTTAAAAATATAAAAGTAGAACTTAAAACGTTATTGGTATCACTTCACAGAATGCCTTATGTAAAAAGGTCATACATGTTTTCAGCACAGACATCATTCATAATTTAGCCGAGGATGGTTATCTTGTCATGTTGAGTAGGATTTTGTTCTTGTTTGTTCTTGTTCAAAATGGCCTGGCATGGCCAGGTGGTTAGGGTGCTCGACTCGCAATCTGCGGGTCGCGGGTTCGAATCCTCGTCACACCAAACATGTTCAGCCTTTCAGCCGTGGAGGCGTTATAATGTGATGGTCAATCCTACTATTAGTTGGTAAAAGTGTAGCCCGAGAGTTGGTGGTGGATGGTGATGACTAGCTGCCTTCCCTCTAGTCTTACATTGCTAAATCAGGGACGGCTAGCGCAGATAGCGCTCGTGTAGCTTTGCGCGAAATTCAAAAACAATACAAACATTGTTCAAAATGCCCCCCAGTGGTATTTCTGCGGACTTACAACGCTAGAAACCGGTTTTCGATACCGTGGTGGGCAGAGCACAGATAGTCCACTATATAGCTTTGTGCTTAACTTCAAACAAACAAAATCGTTTCAGAATGTCATGCATAACCGTCCAAAACTGTGATATGATAGGCTAGAGGGAAGGTAGCTAGCCAACAACACCCACCGCTAACTTTGGGCTACTATTGCCTGATCAAATAGATGATAAGAAACGGGCTGTTTTGATTTTAATTAATATAATTTTGTGGACAAATGAAGGCAAATACAAAAATGCGTATTTTTTGCTGTTGTTTTTGTGTTTTATGAATGGTGAAATAGGCTTAAAATACATATTGTTGACGTCAAAAGGCAAACGTTATATTTACGTATCTTCATCTAAACGTTGTGCCGAATATAATAAGAACTTATAACGACTGATACTGAAAATAGATTCTTGTATACTTCAGCCTAAAATATACTTTTGCTTGTAACATATAACATTAATCGCAGTTTTCATTGTTAGCTTACGGAAAACATCTTTGTGTTCTAACAAATGTGTTATTTTTTATTGTCGTTTCTTGACGTTGTTGTTGTTTTGAAAGAGTTTAGAAAAATAATATGCTGCTGAGACAGACTCTTATTCTGAAGTCTTTGAAATAAACCATGGAAACATTTTATTGTTCTGGAGATGTTTTCCTGATTTACACACATGGTCTGGTGGTCAATGTTCCGGGTTGAATATCGGAGGGTTCTGCATGCAAGTCATGGCAATATTCAACACGCTACACACTTTCAACTGCGAGCGTTCGTTAAGTGGCAGTTAATCATCCCGTTATTCGGTTGAAAGAGCAGGGCAAAGCTTGTGGCGGCGAGTGCTGTTGTCTAGCTCTCTTCCTCCTGGTCAGTAGTTTAAAATTAGGGACAGCTATATCTGAATCCTATGGACCCCTGATTGGTTAGCCCAAGTGCACATCAGGTATCATTCGTGCGATAAAATTCAAAAATATGTTGTTCTTGTTGTTTGTTTGTTGTTAAGCATAAAGCTGCACAAAGGACTCTGGCCAATATGGGTATCGAAACCCGGTTTCTAATGGTGTAAGCCCATAGACATATTGCTTTGCCACTGGGGGGGCTTCAAAGATATGAATTCTAACTCTGACACATTATAGGTGCCATGTTCGAAACCGGAGACGATACGCTGCTGACAGCCTTCAATACTGCGGTAGACAGCATGAACTCCGAATCTTTCCGACTCTCCAACTTCCGACTCTCATCCATTATCGAACAGCTTGAACATCAGGATAGTTTCCAGGCTTCCAAAAAAGGTAAAAAAAAATCAAATATCTGATACTTCTAGTATTCTGCTTAGCAATTCTAAGCGTTTCTTTACACATTCTCATACGTATTGTTGACGTCAGTTGGCAGGGGAAAAATAAAAATAAAAAAGTAGAGGTACTCAGGTGGGTGAAGTGGACCTGTTTTTGTTTGTTTTGTTTTTTTTTTTTGTTGTTGTTGTTGTTGTTTTTTTAATCTACGTGTAAATATGGAAAACGACAAAAAGCAGCTCAAATCAATCATAGCACTAGTACCGCCTTAAAAATATGTTCCGGTGGTACTCAGTACCGGTGAGTACCGGCAGAATTTCACCCCTGTCAGTAGGCAAAGGTTACTTTTACGGACCTTCGTCTTAGTAGTTTCTGCTAATCGTGAGATATCGTTTGTGTTTGATTGACAAAATGATAACTATACAATATAAATGTTTTAAGTTTATACGATAACAAGAGGGAATCCTCGATAGCCGCGCCACTTGAAATTCTTTTAGTCATGAGTAGAGTAAATTAATCTATGATACCTTTGTTTCCCTTTTTTTATTATATATTTTTGTGCGCCAGCAATACCAAGCGTGGGGCGCGCGTTTACCCAATTCGATTTTATTACCCATCAGAATCACTACCAGCCTGCCCTCAAATTCAAATTATTTTAGGCAGAATTAGAATAAATTAATCAGGTGTGTTCAAATACGTCAACCGAGTGTAAGAAATTACAGCTCCCTACATTAAGTCGATTTTTTTAGCTCTGAATCACAAGGGCAGTGTTTTACTGGTAAATTGGAAACTGTAGAAGCAAACAGAACAGACTTGGAAGTAATTTGATCGTTCTTTATGGTACGTTACTGTAGTTTTGACATTTAAGCGATGAAGTTAGGTTTTTGGGATGTTCCAAACCATTCTTTATTTTTACTTGTAGTGTGTGATCTTCTTGAGAAAGGAGTAGCAGCCATTTTTGGTCCACAATCAGAAGAGTCCAGTTCTACGGTCCAGTCGTTTTGTGACGCTATGCACGTGCCACACGTCGAAATCCGGTGGGATTTTCGTACTTACGGTGACAATCATTCCGTCAACTTGTTTCCCTATACAACGTCGCTAAGCAAGGCCTATTACGATTATGTAAAGCATAAGAACTGGAAATCATTCGCGATCGTGTACGAAGAGAATGAAGGTGAGAACTTAAATAATTTTGCAGTTAATAACAAGGTCTTATATTGATATTTTCGTAAGTTTGTTATTGGATTATAAAATCAATTTGATCATTGCTATTGTAATAACGTTGTTCTTTCGTGGACAGGTTCTTTTAAATTATCCGGGGAAAATAATTCAGCGTCCAGTTCGCATAACAATCGTATATTAGTTTATTTCCTCCTTTAACATTTCTACGAGATTGTGGTTGTACACTGTCGTAAATTGTTGTAGGCCTACGTTACAAATGGCGTTCAAACCTTTGTACAAATACTAGTATTAACGTAAAATCAACTTACTTGTACAAAGTAACTCAATAAGCGTGATAGCAAACACAGATCCAAATACACAGACTAATTCACTTTATCGACTAGAAAAGCAACTCTCTCTGTTCTTACTCATTCACTGTTCACCACTATTACTTATAACTAACTCTTATTCTACACATTTCGCCAGATCTCTGCATCATTATGACCCGCAGCTTTCTCTATCTAGCAAACAAATTAAACATTAAAAATATTGCTTAAAACATGGTTTAGCTGACTACGACTAAAAGTCAGTAAGATATACGAATTCATTTGTTTAAGTTATACTGACTTCAGTAATTATTATTTAAATATTCCTCGTTCTGTTCAATAGCGTTAGTCCGTCTCCAGGAACTGCTGAAAGATCCTTCTATCCGTAAACGCAGAGTGATAGTCAAGCAATTTGTACAAGGACGTGAGTACCGAAAGATTATCAAGGAATTGGGAAGAGCTGGGGTGAAAAACTTCATCATTGACGTCCCTTCTGAAAAGATTCGAACTGTTTTAAAACAAGTAAGTGATCACCCACTGCTACCTTTAGATGAAGGTTGTCAAATGGATAACCAAAAAATATTTAAAAAACCTCGCGCTATCGACAGGTTCTTGTTTGTTTCTCTGTTTTGAATTTCGCGCAAAGCTACACGAGGGCTATCTGCGCTAGCCATCCTTAATTTAGCAGTGTAAGACAAGAGAGAAGGCAGCTAGTCATCACCACCCACCACCAACTCTTGGGCTACTTGTTTACCAACGGATGGTGGGATTGACCATCATATTATAACGCCCCCACGGCTGAAAGGGTGAACATGTTTGGTGTGACGAGGATTTGAACCCGCGACCCGCAGATTGCGAGTCGAGCGCCCTAACCACCTGACCATGCCGGGCCGTTTAAAAGGTTAAATAGCCTTCTTCGGGGAAGCATCCTTCTCCCACTGAAAACAACAGGTTCGCCTTTAGAAAATGTTTGGTTTCATCTAAGATTTTTTAATACAAAACTATAATTGTGGGTTTATATAAGGAGAGGCTTCTAAATCACTCATGTCAGTTATTCTCGTGAAAAGTCTTATTAATATTCTAGACAATATACCATTGTTTTTTTCGTGCATAATTATAAACGTTGTTGGGTGGACAAATAAGTAATGAAACTGTTAATGTATTTGTATTACATTTGGGTTTAGAAAAAAGGGTTTTTAATTAACAAAAAAATAATTATTATGGGTCTAATTAAGTATATTTATTTAGTGTGTTTTATATTTGAAATATAATTATTTAGTGTATTTTGTATTTTAAATATAATTATGGGTCTAATTACGTATATCTGTTTAGTGTCTTAATATAGTCTTGGTGATAGTGTACTGTTCATACGTGTAGTAATCACGTATATAATAAACTATTTTATGTCATTTGTAGGCCCAGCAAGTCGACATGATGTCAGAATATCACAATTATTTCCTTACGTCTCTGGTAAGTTTCCTTTGGTTTCAGTTTTGTTTTCAATTTATATTTTAACATTTATAATGGCAATTGATTAAATAATATATTTTTCGAGGTATCCTTGTCTTGTATGAACATGTAAGTTGAAATGATGCTTTTATTCAAAGACATTTAACATATGACTTCAAGAATTATATAGTTAACCCTGAATCTCTTCTTCGTTCATTCGTTTCTCTTCAGTATGCGGTCGAGCTGTAACTATCTTTTCTTATCAGATCAGCTTAGTTTACCAGTTACGTGTCACGTTATCTACCACCTGGAGTACCCGTTATGTAAATTCATTATTAATGAAAAGTTATTTTAGGACATGATAAGTTTTTCCCTTATATGTAACTGTAAAAACGCCCATAAGAACTGTGAAACACAAAATGTGAAACCGCAAATTTCCATGTATTTCCGCGAGTACTCAACAAACCTTCATGACAAATTTGGTGAAGGTGCATCAACAGGGGGCGAAGTAGTGGTAAAAAGCCCATAGAAAAAAAAACGCAAAAGGCAAAACTGAAAAGTTATATGTATCCCCGCATGGACCTGATGAACCTCCATACCAATTCTGGTGAAGATCCATCCACACCCTGCGAAATAGACACATAAACATACAACAGACAATGCTATTAGGTCGTCAAGAAATTAATGTCACTTTTTTTTGGGAGGATGAAAAACCCAAAAAGCTTATAT